AAACTCTGAGGTGAAGCTGTGATTTATAAAGGAAAGATGCGCAGAAACGTGCGTACGTACGGTTTTATAAATCTGAATTATTTTTTTTTTTGCATACGCCATTTTCACCTTTTGGACATACGTTCAATTTTAATATGGTTTCCACGCAATATTTTAGAAATCTGACCCCAGAACTGTAGATGAGTGTAAACTGTAAAGTGTAAAAGTGTAAAAGTATTAAGCATCAGGCTGAAAAAAGTGGGTGCACAACTCTTTTAAACTCCTGTTTCTGTTTTCACTCTGATCAATCATGTCCTGTCCCATCTTATTTCCAGAGTCGGCCGTTCAGTCCACCGGTTTCMGGTAGCCCCCCACCGTTTGCGCCCCTGGCCCGTGCCGAGAGCTCTTCCTCCCTCTCCTCCATCACGTCACACAGCGCGGCGTCCACTCCAACCTTAGGACGAGACCTGACCATGCCCACCACAGGTAACACGACCTGCCCTGCAGCTTCAGTCCACATGGTGTGTGTTACTCGTCGTCGTCTTCTTGCCTCACCGTCTTGTCCCTGTCCATGATTTCTTTCCCTCTTCATGTGTCTGCTCACCCAGAGGCCTCGCTGCCTCTGGTATGGTTTGACCACGGCAGGTTTCATTTAGCTTTTGAAGGTGAGTTGAGTTGCAGCGCTACTGTAGTGGCATCAGTGCATGAACAGGAAGTACATGCCCTGTTTTTTTTTTAAATCCTATGTGTTCACAAACGTGTTGCTGCTCATCACACAGAACCCTGAATCGTACGTCTGGTTCAGCTTTTCCCCACTCTGTGCTTTGTATGTAAACCCTGATCCCTGCAGAAAAAGCATGTCCTAAATTAATGTTTATGGGTATTTTTTTTTTGTCATCGTGTGGTTTTCAGGGTGCTCCAGAGGACCCAGTCCTCTCACCATGGGACCCCAGGACACCCTGCCAGTTGCAGCTGCTTTCACAGAAACCATCAATGCTTATTTCAAAGGCGCAGACCCGAACAAGTAGGCGTACTTTCCAAAAGTGTCTTATGCTGGTGTAAAGAAATAAAAAAAATACCTTTCTCAGTTTTCATGTGAAAATTCTCAGATAGAGGAATCTTCAGGGTAGAGTGAGAAAGCTGGGAGTTAAAGTTTGTGTTTCAGTTCGTTTTGAGTCCCTGTTCACGTCTCTGTTGCAGATGTGTGGTGAAGATCACGGGAGAGGTGGTGCTCTCCTTCCCCGCGGGGATAACCAGGCACTTTGCGAGCCATCCAACTCAACCCATCCTCACCTTCAGTATCAGCAACTACAACCGACTGGAGCAGGTCCTCCCCAATCCACAGCTGCTGTGCTGGTGAGGTTACAGTCACAGGAAAACAGTGAGAGTTCAAATGTCCAGACAAAGAAAATGAAACAGAATTGTCAATCTGGATACATTGCTGATCTCCTGTCAGTGGGGTCTTGTACCCCCTTTGGTCCTGGATGCAAGCGGCAGTTCAATGCAGAACGGATTCAGTCGTATCCTCCTGCAGAAACTCAACCCACAGCTATTGGATCCAGCAGATCAGCACTGGATTGGAGTTAGAGTCTGAGATGATCCCACACATGTTCCATTGACCATTTTATAGTTTATAAATGTGAATGAGCGAAGCAGCCGGGCTCACACGTCTTTCGATACAAATGCTGAGGTTGCTGAAGAAGCATCATTGGAATTAAACAAATTCAACAAGTAAATTTATGCCTTTATACAGACCCGATGTACAGAATTTGCTCTGTTAAACTTCCCCTTAAAGTGCCCGTGACATCAAATTTTTGTTATAAATATGAATGTTTTTATGGAAAGATAACATTAATAACATATTGTAAAAAAAAGATTTCACACCATCGAGATGAACAGTTATTAAGATAATTGCATGTTCAGTAACAGGAAGTGATGTCAAAGGGGAATGTCTGAATGTATACAGAGCGTTGCTAACATGACTAACAACACAGACTGTAGAGAAGAATCTGATGTTTCTTTAGATTATTTTAATCACAATCACAGAGAGATAAAGAGTCATAGTTCAAATAATAGTTTTTCAATAAACAAAAACCAGAGTTTTCTTTCTCAGAGTTCCCCTTTGATGTCACTTCCTGTTTCACTTTCACTTTAGCTGAGCCAAATTCAAAAGAAAATAAGCCAATTATGAGACACAATGAGTAAAATCATGTGTATTATGCCAAGTTTCTTAAATATAAATATATTTTATTTGACTTTTTTTGTATTTCTTGAATATGCATGATCATAGATGAGACTCTTCAGAAGTCCCAACTAACTGCTAAACCCTTTAATAACATWGGTCGTGAGTACTGCTGGGCCTAAAATACAATATTTTGAATATCTTGTGATTTGCTGAGTTCATCCATGTGCATAAGAACAAATAAGAAGAATAAATTTCAAGATGAACTGAAAGACTAACAATGAAAGGCTAAACCTTTAGCTAGTTTCTGCTGTTGAACATTTGGCTTGGGTTCAAGCTTCATAACACTGGCAGCACATTCCAGGCACACCAGCTTCTCCTTCCTTATTTCGCTGCATTTCAGACCTCTTCAAAGCCCTGACACTCCAACATTTSACCTCGTCTAGTGTTTTCTCAACCATAGATTTCTAAAAACAAGGATATCTTTACAGATCAACTGAAAAAAAAAATGAGGTTGTGTCAATCAAAACCAATACCAGTGGGGACCAGGTTGACCACAGAGGATCTCAACATGACTCGAGCAATCCATGGATACTTGTGTGGGGGGGTGTTGTCTTGTTGAAAGACTGTACCAGGGTTCTGTCTCAGTASGGATGAGACATGTGGACGTAAGATGCCAGGACTGTAGCGCTATCATGTCAGGGTCACTYAAATCACTACCATCGGTGACCTGAAGTCATACCTCTGACTCCTATGCCACAATGTCAGGAGTACTTATCTCCTCATCATTGGAGTATTGGTGTTCTACCTTTGGCACATGGGGAGGTTAAACATTCACCTGATGATTATCCATGATAATTCAACCACTTGTCTTCAGTCCAAACCTCCTGATTACACTCCAATGATGTTAATAGTAGGACATGGAGCAGAGAACCCGTTGTTTGGYTGGTACCAATCATTGAGACAAATTCCTGTAAACTATGTCCATAAAACAGGGACAGATGTCATGGGGTTTGTAATTCTTGGTGCACATTACAGCAATTCTCTCATGTCTTGAATCCTGAGTGACCAGAATCTTTCACAATGTGTATGGGTTCCTTTGTGTACCCTTCTTTTCCATCATCGGGCCATTATGACATCGGTACATCTCACATGTTGGGCCGTTGCATGATACAACCACCTGACCTCATGCAAGTCTACAATATAACCCTTATCCAACTCAATCAAGTGACAGATGCTGTCTAATGTGTTTATGAGGCATCCTCTAGGACTGTAGACCTTCACTCTCTGTTTTGACTGACTATTGGATGCTCTGGCAGATAGCTACACTTAGGATACCACCATTTGTGTCCTCTGGTGCCCATTCTAGGTCAACCTCTAGAATAAAATCATTAAGACATATCTGCTCAGCATATTGACCAAACTACTGTACATCCAAACTGGACCGTTACTTCTGGGTGCAGAACTTTTTTTTGTCATTGAGTTTAATTATTGAGGAGTTTAATTGAGATACTCTTGATGTTTCCTGTGGTTACTGTAATTGAATGTATACTTACCGTTCTGTAGTGATGCTACAGTTGACGTTGAGGACTCCAAAGAGTTCTGGGTGAACATGCCAAACCTGATGAGCCATCTGAAGAAAGTGGCTGAACAGAAGCCTCAGGCAACGTACTACAATGTGGAAATGATCAAATATCAGGTATTAAATATTTTGTATAAGATATTTGATGATATTTTATGATGATTACATCATCTTGTTGTCTTGGTCTTTCGTTAGGTGTCAGCAGAAGGGATTCAGTCCACCCCTCTGAACCTGGCAGTGAGTTGGCGAGGGGATGCCACCAACACAGACCTGAGAATAGATTACAAATACAACATGGAGGCCATGGCTGCACCAGTACCACTGTACAATGTCCACTTTGTTGTTCCAGTGAATGGAGGCATAGCCAGACCACAGGCCATGATCCCACCCGCCACCTGGTAAGAACTCCTAACATCCTGCCAACTCAGACCTTAACTTTTCTATTTCTACTGGTCATGTAATGAACATTTAGACAAGATAACTGGAGGTACAACATTCTGGAGACCGTAGTATCATTATTAGTGTTTCTGTGGTTGCATGCTGAGTACAAATAGAAACGCTGAGGTGACCTAACAGCCAGGCACTGGTTGGTACTGTAGACAGGTCATAATCAATATCATATATTTCCATTTATTTATGATGATTAAATCTTGAGTTTCCTTCTTGGTCTATTCTTTTAGGAACAGTTTATATTAACAGCATTTATACCACTTCCCCAGTACCTGGGAGTTGTCAGAGCCACTTTAGATCAATTTAAATTTGAGTCAAAGCAGATGTTTTTCGCAAAAAGAGCCAAAAATGATCCTACAAATGAAATTACACAAACTAAGATGGTTTATGTGATGCAGAAATGTTATTTTTTTTCTCCACTCGACCAAAATCTTGATATCTTTAGATTAACGACCGACCGATACAGGTTTTTTTAAGACCTATGTGGATACAGATTATTTTGACATGAGTCTAACCAATCCCCAATATTTACTGCTGATTTTGTTAGGCCGATTCTTAAAGCCAATTTTGCTTTTTCGGATCTGTTACTTTCTACTTTTACATGATAAAAATGACACGGTGAAAACAAATGTTAACAAGTCTCAATTTAAACAACAAAAAACATTTATTAACATCTATCCATCCATGACAAGCGGTTCTATTGAGGGTCGYGGGCCAGCTGTGGTCCCTGGACTTTGCTGGCCAGATGGAATTGATCTTGGAGGAAGCTGATAGATTCGGCTTGACGGAATTTGTCCACACCATTTGCCTGATTGGAATCGCAACCTTGAGATGCACCAGCAGGACACTAAAGCAGATGGAAAATTGTTATCGCATGCCTGTCGCTTTTGTTCCCAAAACAACTGATTACAGAATCTGGATCTCCCCGACAATGGCCTTGATCTGTTGACTAAATTCTTCCTGGCTGGATGTGTCGACAAGGCTATGCCCCATACCTTCCCCCCTCCTCTCACCCGTCTAATCTGTTTTCAGAAGCGGGCTGAAGGCTGCACAGAATGAACAGTTCCATCAATATTTCTGAACTATGGCTGCACTGGTTTTGGGGACTGGATTCTTCGGGCCCCCTTATACACTCTTACTCCTCTGGCTAATAATCTTGCTCTTTGCAGAGGTTTTTTTCATAAACACCATAGTGTGTCATAGTGTTGATATAATATGATGTTTTTATTTTTTCCCTCATCTTCCCTTCCCTTGTGTGTTTTTCAGTTTTCTTTKTTTCTWAGATGGTGCCACGGCAGGCTGCCCGTTACTGCAACTCCACTGTCTTGAGCTGCTATAATGTTCAAATTTCCCCACTGTGGGATCAATAAAGTTTCATCTTATCTTATCTTATCTTATCTT